CTCCCCGGGAGGATGTGTGTTCACATCCCACCACCATTGCCACACTTTTCCCGTTTCCTGTGTGTTGTATATCAGTCCTTCTAATTAAGCGTTTCCTCTTTCTGAAAATATATTCTAATTAGAAATAAATAGAATAAAACATACAATGGATGAATCATTATCTTCATCAGATTATAATAGTGATAAGCAATTACAATTCTTCTGCTGAAGCAGCCGGAATGCATTTAACTAATCACAGAGAAGTATTACATTCTATTCGTGATTACGCAATCGAACCTATGCTTGAATTATCGGATTTATCTTTTCTTCACAACATTTGTTTGCCTTAGGGTTGGCCAAAATTATTCAGTCGACCGGGTGTTTACTAGCGGAACAACGTTTTTGTGGACTATTGAATCTGAAATGAACACAGCCTAACAGCGGAGAATTACAACAGTGAAGCTTCACCGTCTAGGACTCAGTTGATTACCTTTACAGGTTTCGACACTGTGATGTATGCAGTTCAACCAAGAGAGGCTAATAGGGCGTTTTCACGATAGCTCACACAAACTTCTTTTCAGTTACAATCCTTCGGATCACAGTTGATGTCAGGTCAATAGAGTTTCTCATTGAGACTGCTCGGAATCGGNNNNTGCTGAGAATGTGCACAGTGCACATGCCTCCATTGTTGTTGTTCCAAGCACACTCAGCCCGTTTGCGTGAGAGGATCAAATACCGAAGCGAAAACAGTTAGAAACAGGCGATGTGTGTGTGTGTGTGCTACGCATGGATGGACGGGTTGAAGTGACACCTAAACCGGTTGGATCGCCTTGGTCAATACCTTCACATACATGCACGCTCAGGTGGGTGGCGTTGCATTGTCTGAGTGGAACTGCATTGTCCGTTGGGTCACACAGAATCGCACTTGGACCGTATCCAATTTCCTTCGTCTCCGTGCGCATGCGGATGTGTGTGTGCGATTGCACCCGGTTTCGGGTCTTAGTCTGCTTTTGGTGATTTCACTTCTCTTTTTTGACTATCGAATGAATCGAAAGGTTCTCACTTGACCGGTGAAATGCGTTCAAAACACACGGAACAAAACATGCACATGATTCGGTTGTCACACAGACAATGACCTACGAAAGGGGGTTTGGACACGGGCGAGCTAGTGTACCACGTGTTTGTGTGTGTGTTTCTAAACCTGTGCTCATATTGCACACGTGTGAAAATCGATACATCGTAACTAACGGTCAGGGACACAGTGAGCAATGCACCCCTGAGACGCATTTTAGATGGCAGCTTCTAAATTCGTGCATATATATATATATATATATGTATGTAGCGAGAAATGAGTATCCATATAAAAACAATCGCGTTGACCTTCGACAGTTGGTAACTGGCTCTGGGGTTGTGCTCTCCTGTGCTCCTTGCAAACTTTGTGAGTGCGGCTGTGTGTAGGTGAGCGCTCGCTTGCACGCGTATCACAGCACGGAAAATCATATCATTTATTACCACAGACCAATCAGTCGTCCATCTCTGCGATTTCAATGAGCGAACAAAAAGCTGTGGTGAAAAATGCGGACATGGATGAACGTTTGCAACAGGAAGCGGTAGACATCGCTTGTGAGGCAATCGGGAAATACTCGATGGAAAAAGATATCGCCGCGCATATAAAGAAAGCATTCGATAAGAATCACTCGGGTCCGTGGCACTGTATTGTGGGCAAAACATACGGAAGGTGAGTTCTGAATACTTGCAGTTTGTGTGTGTGTGTGCTAATGCCTTCCACTCTAACATGCTCATTCGTAAGGGGCATGATCACATGATCTTTCACTCAGTCAGTTTAAAGCTTTGATTTACGGTTCCATCAGTGACCAATAATTTGGAAGAGTAAACCATAACTTTCGGACTAGTTATGTTTTTCATGATGTTCAATGTGTTTTGATGTGCATGCACGACGTTAGATAGAAGTTGTGTGAAGCCTTAGAACTTTCGACTATCAGACTAGTAAAACAAGTTAATGCAATGTGCACTGTGCTATCATTTACATACTTAAGTATACATATATATATATATATATATATATATATATATGACTACATACTATATCTATATTGTCGTATGTGTGTTGACGTATTACTGCTTATGGTTAATTCTCTTCCTTCCACTCTTGTTCTTGTTTTCAACTTCAGCTACGTGACGCACGAAAAGAGACATTTTATCTACTTCTATTTGGGATCTTATGCAATTCTTCTGTTTAAATCCGGTTAAATAAACATCTATTTTTAAATACATGACCGTCACTTTTATTCAAATTGGGTATTCCAAAAACGTAGTGAGAGATTCTTCTCAAATCAGATCAAAATGGAAATCTGGAAAACTGCTAGAAAGACCGGTTGCTTAGCGAGTTGGAAGCGCGTTCTGATTCTGAGGTTAGTGAAGAACGAAGATTGTCGCGGATCACAGACCTCACTCCTCGGAGCACCAATCTCCGGGTTATTACTCGGTTGGAAACATTCACAAACAGAATACTTGTTTCATATGATTATTGGAGGTTCTGATTCAATTTCAGAGGTGAATTTGTCGTGTATATCGGAAATGAAGCGTGAATTCACCTTGGAAATTTAACCAAATCCTCCATTACTCATATGAAACAAGTAGTCAGGTTGTGATTTTTCTCAACCGAGTCATAACCCCGGAGGCTAGCACTGAGATAAGCGAGGTCTGTGGCCTGCAACAAGCTCGCAAAGATGGGTTATGCAATATTGTGTAAAAGAGAAGTAAAGCACTGTCTGACTAGCTGCCTAGTGGCCGAGTGAGTAGCATGCTTGCGTTCTGTCTTTGAAGTTCCGGGTTCGATCTCCAGTTGGGTGGATAGAATTGCACTGCTGATGGGACCCAACCAGGTCGAAACAGCTGTCCAGTGTTTCCAAGCTTTGCAGTTCACGCTTCGTTTGCTATATACACGACGAATTCCCATTTGAAACTGTATCAAATCCTGCATTAGTCACACGGAGTAAAATTAGCCCCATTATACTCAAACGGTTCAGCATCTTTTTGGTATCAACACTTCCGGTGGTGTTCACGCATAAACATTCACAGCGTTGCATCAGTTTCAAAATAAACAAAAGAACGTTTAGTACATGCATGTGTTCTCGGTATTACAAATAGATATGCATTGAAAATCGATTAGAATGCACGATCTAACTGTCTGGTAGATTAGGTATCATTCCCCAAGTTTGCAAACTGACGGTAAGCACCTGACCAATTTCGAAGGCAAAATGATGAATACATTTCTTTGCTCGCTGCTATGTAATCGACCTGTATAGAGAATACATCTAAGAATAATAGAGGAACATCCCTGTTCAAAATAGCTTAGTGCAATGCAGAGGATGAGTCGCATAGCTTTGTTTCTCTACTGGCGCACGAATCTGTACGGAACCGTGAAGTAAACTCCGGTCACATTCACATTCACTCGCTTAGTGCACCTCGTGAAGGGAATGCCTAGTGTGAGCGTTTTCTGGAGTATTAATTGGAATTGTGTTCACGTTTACAATCGCACATAGAAATGCAAACATTTCTATGAGATTGTCAAGGGAGCGCAAACGCTTACTACGGTCATGAGCATGCGAGAAAAATGAAAAAAACAATGCCGTCATTATAGCACTACAAACAACCCTCCTGAGTTCCCGGAGCAACATTATCAGCTTCCGGATGGGAGTAAAAAATTAATCAACACTCACAGAAAATTATGCTGCTTTGAAGAACGCAGAACACAAGATTCAGATCATCTTTGAGACTGGTCTCTTGACGAATAAATAAATGAAATTACACCTAAGTGCCCCCGATACCTGTTGCATCTAGATTAACGTGAATTGCTGTAAATACATTGACAATAAAATGTAATTATGCATTGGTTAGTTCCATATCCTCCCGGTTGAAACATTCTGTTCGTGAGATTCTAATGAAAAAATTGATCTCACATTTCTGGCTGCCGGTGTAAAACCATTACAGAAATCGCGTACACATTATCCTAAAGCAGTTCATTATCTGAAACATTGGGATTTCTTAATGAATTTGAACAGGCAAGTCAGAAGACAAGCACTGTGAGAGGAATTCCTTTCCGATAACGCGTTCGTATACAATCGAACAAGATAGACATATGACGCGAATTAAGAAATCTAGTCAGTATTAAACATG